GGGACTTCATTTTATCTGTTTACATGCATCTTCATATATACTCATATCCCTCTTTGTTAAACTGAGAGAACTGGCTTCCATCACTTTCATTTTGATGTTCGCTCAAGTCTCTTCAGCTAACAGAACTGTCATTTTTACATTTAAACGCACCCCTGGAAAACAATTACGAAGCGAGTCGCTACTAGCTTTTTTAAAAGCTAACCTTGTTTAACGATCTAAGCTGTGCACCTACCGATAGAAAACCTCTTTCGGCAGTAATCGTTTAAAGATCCTTTAAAATCTCATATAAGCATAATAGAAGAAAAAAGTAGCTGTTTTGTATGTGTTAAGATAGTCTTCAAATGAATGTTATGAGTCAGTTCACTAAAGTGTATGTTACATCCTTATATGTTGATTAACGAAATGTAACATGACACACGCTAACACAGCTTGTAAACAACCATGGCGGAGAGGAGGAACCTGTGTGTCTTGCGTTTATACTACAGGTCATGTTAATCTTTAAAACAAAAAACAAAAATGAAATTATAAAAACAACCTTGTGTACTTGATGAGCTGCTGTCTTCGGCATCCAATTTGTTGGGTTTTTTTCTACTTAAAGGATGGGTCAGGTGACCGATTATGCGTTTCTGATGACGAACCATTGCGTTAGAATTAGACAGACATAGTCAGCGTTCAACATTGTTCATCATTTTATTTTCTGTATTATTTAGCAATTGTGATTTTTGTTTCGTAAAATTATTGTATTTACCATCAAATCAAACATTTATGATATTTGTTGTAAATGACTTAGATAAACATAAATCAGAGCCTGTCTACACTTCTAAAGGGCTTCGAGGAAAAATCGAAACGTTTCCTTTTCATAATTTCTGACACTTCGGCAAACTGTGTGCATCAACTCTGTTTATTCATCATCATGATCATTGCCATTACTATCATCGTAAATCACACTTTATCTAGATATATAAATCAATATTGAAACGCATGAATCTGGAGAAATTGTGATCCCTCGGAAGCAATAATCACAAAATAACATAATATTGTAGACTCGGTTTGATTTAGTCGTCTCTGAGGGATAATGAAAAAATGTGCAAAAAACATTCCTCACGTACCCTAGCACCAGCTTAAAAATGCACTGATAATATAAGGTCAAATATCGAAGACGAATCTTCATCATGAAAATTAATTTACATACCTGTTTAGCTCGTTTTAACAAAAACAAAGTTACATGAATGCCCGTTTGCAAAACACAGGATGAATTTTTTGTTTTGAAAGAACGTGTATTATCTTGAAGTTACTATATTCATTATGTATTCTGTGGCTAATGTTTTTCCTCTTGACTTATTGACTAAATTAAAAAGGGTGTCGGCAAAAGTTAACAATAGTAATTAAGCCTCATCAGCATATAGCAGAACTAGCATAAACAATACTGTATTTAATCTCATAACGCACTAAATGTAATGATAGGATAATTAAATCGCCAACTTCTTAATTAACAGCAGAACGTTTTTTGTGACATACTAAGATACATTAAACATGTGCGTGCTTTAGTAGAAATGTCTTTTTTAATTTGCGTATCACATTTGCTACAATATTTTAGTTTAAATGCTCTTTAGTTATGTACCACACACCGGCTGGTTAATAAAATCAATGGCAGTGTAAACATGCGTTTAAGGCAGTACATTTCGATACGGAAATAAATGTGGAAAATATGGATCCTAAAAGGGAAGACGAAAAGACCTCATCGGACGATAAAACTTTGGTTTCAGATAAAATGTCTCGTAAAATAATATTAAAGAATTTATTCATTTTAAGTTTTGCTTGTATGTTGGAATTCAGTGCATTTAATTCATTTGCAAATTTACAAAGTTCATTAAATAAAGAAGAAGGACTTGGGACTACAGGTCTTGCATTACTGTACGGTGTTATGGTGCTTACAAGTCTATTTATAGCCCCGATAAGCATTGACAGAATATCTACTAAGTGGATAATGACATGGTCAATGTGCACGTATATAATTTATACGGCAACCGGATTTTATCCGACCTGGTATACGGTAATACCTGCGTCAGTTATTATTGGGATAGTTAAGTATCTTACAATTTATAGAACAACCATTTATAGATAAATAGATAGATTTAGATAGATAGATCTATTTCGGCATAAAAGTAAACATGTTACATGATAAACAAACACAATATAGATTAAAACAATTGCAAATAAATAAATAAATAAATGAATAAATAAATAAATACTATATTATGTTAACCATGACATGTTCCAAAAACCAATGATAACACAATAAAGAGCAAGCTCTTATTTCCATTGTGGTCCTAAGCATTTATTTCTATATATTAACAATGTCGTACATTTTAAATAGATTGTGGTTATATATTTTTAAAACAACATTTGTTAGTGTTATTCTTATTATACTGTGTTACACATTAAATAGTTAAAATACCAAATATAGTTTATAGTAAATATCGTTGTATTTAAAAAAAACCTGCTTGAAACGACGTGTAAATTATCTCATTTATTGTACATATTAGATCGCAAAGAACCAGCCTGTGTTCGTTCAGGATATGACCGATTATAAATGAGAAAATTCAAGCAGTAAATACTAAGTACAGAAAATATATTACATGGATTTCATCTTTTTTAAAATGCTCATGGATAATTATGGCATTGCGATGTTGGCATTAGCCCGCACATTTACAAAACTTCATATTTGTTTAACTTACACCTAGTAAAATAAAGTTATTATTTATATATGCTAATCTCTACTATGTTTTAAGCTGCTCTTTGAAACGTTTGTCAGAAACTGTGATAAAGAGAAACAATCACAAATCATGTTATTATGGATAATCATCTAAATTGTTAAAAGTCATCAAGTTCGGATTAAAGTCCATAACAAGCATTACGTTATTATCTTTGTTTTCCTTTTTTATCTGTTCTAACCAGCCGTTTTAAATCTTACCTAATTGATTCATATAAAAAATTGCACTCGTAATAAACGTAGCTTTTATCTTTCTGCATGTACACTTGGTGAAACGCAACTGGTCTCTCAACATTTACTGTCTGTAGTACCGTTTTTGTACTTTAAGTAAGAAGATTATTGATAAACTATCAGCAGAACTGTGCTTAAATTGTCAGATATAGATACCTTATAGAACGGCAAAACGGCCAAAATTGAAAATGTTGCAGGCTCGGTTTGATGCATGCAACCCTCCACTAGCTTCAGCAGAATTCGACATTGCAAAATGTTATATTTAGAAACATCTGCAGAAGTTAAAATTGAGAGTAAATACGTTCAAGATAGAGGATCGTTCACTTTTTAGTGTTTTGTCATCGGGCAACTAAGATACTCATCAGTTACGAAATATCCAATAAATTACAAAGGTCTTTTATACCATTTGCAAAGAAGATGTTAATTTTTTTTATACATGTTATGCAAGAGAAAATAGGCACTAAATTTGGACAATATTTAATAAAAGACCTTTATTTTTCATAATCGGTTTTCATTTTTCAATGATGTCTTCTTCCAAATGTTTATTTTATATTTAAAGAGCAAACGTTTGTACTAACGCATATTATTTGTAGGCGCCGCTCATTTTTGGTTGGCAATGCCGGCATATGTTATTGACCTTGCTAAGAGTTACGCCCAAGTCACTGACACTGTGGATCAGGACAGAGTGACCTTCTTTTTTGGTATTGTTTATGCTGCAATATATACAAGTAAGTATATCAACATTATATGATGAAAACGACGAATATCTAAGTAATCGAAGCAACGTGTAAGAATTTAAGATAAGTTGTAAAACAGATCGGATAAAAAGTGGTAAAATGAACCGATAGCTTTCCGATATATGATAATTGGTTTCACATATCTACCGGTTTCACCCAATAAAGGGATCTCCAAGATATGTAACGCAAATGCCATTCACTTTCAAATCGGTAACCGAAAGATGTTTTCAAAAAAAATATTGTCATTGCTTCGGAAAAAATAAATCTAATGTACACTGGAAAAATGGTGTACAGGGGTGTTATATATATTGCTTAATCTTCTATTTCTTATCATCACCTCAATACAACTAAGTCTGCATTTTTCGAATTTGCAGTTGTTATGTTGACTTATGATGGTCCTACTTATTGAACTTTTTTTAATGAAATGAGAGTTGCATTATTACAAAATCACATCAAATTTGATTTTCTGGTCTGTTTACTATTGCTAAATTTCTGTACTATTTTCAATTTTCTACATTACCTAAATATTACGGTTAATTGTACAAATAGAAAAACAAATGACAAAGAAATAAAGCAAATTGATCTTTGCTTTTTCCTCTGTAAAAACGTTTTTTGCCATTTTAGGTAACATATGGGGAAACCTTTTTTCATCTATGGTATTCAGACGGGAGAGAACAAACGAGACAGTGGAGAGTAAAGATGTTCTTTGTGGACCTTCATATTGTCCTTACAGAAAATATAACATTTCAGCCATTGTTCAGCCTTCACAGACGCAGGTTATTGCCTGAGATATAAAATACTTAAACATGTATCGTAACAATGTAATCTTTGAATCTACTTTGAATCTACTTTGAAACTACAACAAAGTATTACCTAGTCTGATGATATTCATATAGGTCTATGTCATGTTATGTAACTTTAAGTAATTCTCACTTATTAGGTCGAAAATTTACCTCATTTAGATGTAAATCTAAACTGTTATCCAACGGTTTGAACGTTACATGCATCTTCACACTTAAGTTTAGTTATAGAGTCGAACTTAACATTTTTATATACATGGTTTGTTTCTGGTGCTCTTTACGTTATTTTTCTCTCAGTTAAATCAAAAACAGCCCAAATTCAAATATATATGATCCATGAAATTCTTTTTCAAAAAAGTTCACTGTCCTGTGATTTTAGTTTGACCACTTTTCTTTATGTTAAAGTTCTTAATGTTTCTAGCATGACCTTTCACAACGTGTGCTTTTTATTGTAGGCGTACACATATTCAGGATTTTTTTCAGGAATAGCCGCCTTTGCAATATTGTTGATAATCGTCTTTCTGACCAACATAGGCACTGGCAGCGGAAAATCACATAATGCCTGTAAACAAAGTCGAATGGTGGCAACACACTTATTCCGATCTAGAGACCAATTGTTGTTATTTTGTTCTTCGATATTTAGCGGTCTAGCAAATGGATTTGTTGGAGATTTTACTAGTGTGTGTATCACGTGCTTATTGAACAAAGTAGGGGAGCTATTTTTACTTGAGTGAAAAGTTTCTTTATCTATTTCATTACTGCAATAAAATGTTTTGGCAAAAGATATAAAGCTTATTGAAATTACAAATTTGAAAATTTGTTGGATATGTATCTTAAGCAGTTTTATCTGTATATTTATATCATGTGTTTTTCTGGTTTTAAACAGAAACATTTACAGAAGATCATTTTAATTAAACTTCCTACTTGCATATTTGGGAAAGGACTATATCAAAGGGACACAATCAATATCGGTGATAATTCCGCATAAGTACTTATTCTGCGGATGTTTTAAATCTGATACAATTGCTTTAAAAGAGTAAGAAATGGTCACAATACTAATTATTGCCAGAAAAAAATAAAAAAATTTAAATATGTAAATGAAGATTAAAGTTGAAACTTTGTTGTTGTTGATGTTCTTGTTAGCTAAATTATGTAATTATATGTGTTATGTTTGTCCTATATTTCAGGCATACATTAGTTGTCCATATGGGATACAAAATGTAGGATTTGTTATGATAACATTAGGAGTGAGCCAGTCTATATTCAGTGTTGTATATGGAAAAATAAATCAATACATTGGTCATATCGCAATATTTACCTTTGGTAGGTGTACCATTAAAAGAGATTTGCAAAACTATAAAAATGTGTGACAGATATGCACTGCGCTAAAACAAATATTGTTTATAGTTTCCGGAATATTCAGAAATAAAGTAGCAATATGTGAAAAAATAAAACACATTTGTAGTTTAACAAAAAGTATTCACTTCTAAGGAAATGTGAAATGTTAAAATAATTCTTAGTTGACTTAGATATTTTACTATTAGGTAAAATAGAAAATTCGATACGCACAATAAATTGTCTGATTTTGCATTCTTACATTGATTGTGAATTTTGGTATTTCTTTGATATTAGAATCTTATTCTAGTTTGAGGTAGTCTTACTCTAATGCTCTCCAGCCAAAATAATTTCTAACAACGGCCAATAGCGTAATTAATGAATTTAGTACAAAGCGATAATTGATGAGTGATTGCAAATAATCAAATGAACAAGATTAAAAAATATCTTCTTGAAATAACCGATTTGCTACGATATTGTCCGATATAAGAATTTTTTGGCAGGAAAGAATTACAATAAAGTTTTTCTTTGTTACAGGTTCAATGACACATGCATCATTTTATATAACATTGTTGTTGTGGAATCCATTGCCGAATCAGTCATATATAGTACATGTGCTGGCTGCTATTGCGGGCATATCAGGAGCAGCAATTGAACCAGTTATAACAGGTAAAATAGAAGATACAATTAACCTATAAATTGCTAATGTAATCATTCACTTCCTTAATCGGCTGTTTGTTATATAAACCCTTATCTAGTTGCTCGGGTTATATATTTACATAAAAGCCGTTTATACCGGACCATATTTTATAACAAATATCTTTATAACTACTATCGTAAGTTTCTCTATTTTTCAGCTCTTCATAACCTTTATTTTGCCGAGAAGAGGGACATTGCTCTATCCAGTTTTCGTCTTCTCAACTCCATAGGATGGGCAATATCCTTCGGATACAGTAACTGGCTGTGCTCAAACGTTAAGATGTACATACTGATTGGTTTATTACTTATGTCTTAAGCAACAGTAATTTATCTCGATGTGAATCATAGACGGACGAGAGGAAAAGGTGAAAAACAAGCAACAAAGGAAAAGGATGCAGTTACAGAGGATTTAATTTCAGATCTAATTTCAAACCAAAGTATATAACCCATTAAATTCTACCTATTTTATGACTTACCTTTGCCACAGGAAGTTCAGATTTTACATTGATGTTGAAACTGCTTGTGAAGTTCCAAATTTAATCAAGCATAGACCATGTTTATATTCCATGCGATGGTGGTTATTAAATAAAACCTTCTCAAACAGTGTTTACAATTTCAAAAAACACTAAATAGAGGATACTGACAGCTGAAGGTTCCGTACTGAGTTTATATGTTGACCATAGGTGAATTAAATCATATGATATCAATTGTTTACAAAGTTATAAGTATTCCGTTGTATTATATAGTATTGGCATACTAACATACGCGTTTAACGTCAAATAACATTTATTTCAGTGCTTTTACTAATATTTAAAAAATTCTCACATTAATTGATAGGATAGTGGCATTTAATTATTCAATTCAAAGAATTAAATAAATCCTATAATAAAACTATATGAATATAATATTTTAATAACACCCCTACTGCAAACAAAACAATACATAGTCAAAAGGTTTTGTTACATTTATTTTAAAAATTGTAATTTAGGATTGAAGAGACCACATTTTATGCCAGTATGGACAGAATTTGAATCTTTAGAACTCAATTATATGTTTTCCTTTTTAAAGCAATATACATCGATTTTATTCTGCAAGGGAGATAAAAGTAAGAGCTAAATCCTGTTCAAAGTATGTAAGAGTTATATATACTCGTTCACAATACTTATCTTTTACTAATCGAGAGAATATTTACGCATATTTGTTTAACAGATAGATATTTGTTGTGTTATTAAACCTATGCAATATGACTTTGCTAAATTTATAATATACTGTTTCTGAAAGAACACAACTCCTTTTGTTCCAGGAAAAATCTAAGATTTTATAAAAAATGCAATCGCAAGTTAGGTCTATAAGCATTTCATAGTGACAGTAAGACAGTCAGATAATAATTCCTTTATTGCATATAAGTCACTCCTATATTAATAAAGCTCTAAAACATAGTGACCGAAATTTCGAAAGACAAAGCTGAAGTATTCAATCGACTTGTCTAATATATGCTCATGAAGAACAATTAAACAAACAAGGAGGAAAAACTACATCTATATGTGCCGAATATTCACGTCACACTTAAGGGATTCTCTAACTGCGTAAAACTTAACTACTTAATGAAAAGAAAGCCAGCGGTCCTGACAATATTCTTATCTAGAAATAATCTGAACATTAAATTTATCCTAAGTTAAAGCATTAATTTTGTTCTTACAATCACTTGACACCTATGATCAACTAGCAGGTTAAACATTGCCCCAATCTACATGTAAGCAAACATAACTCAACCCGACTTTAAAACCAAATTGAAGAAATAAATTTTCTTTTATTAACCGTCCATATATGGCTTTATTGTATGCTGTCAATATGGAAGAAAATGAATTGAAGGTTTCATAATTTTTAAAATATATTGTCTCTCTTGGTCATCTCCTTCTGTCCTAAAACGGTATCTATCTGCTTTGTATATATATAGTCTTCCAATGTCTGTATTTCTGCCGATTATGCCGATGATTGCTTCATCTTTCGTTATTAACTGTGTAAGTATCGTCCCCTTTGCCCCTTGTTTTATTTATTTTATCCATCCCCTCCCTTCCCCGGGTCTCCTGTCCCCTTCCCCTGTGCCCATTGACTTTATGGGCCTATTATTCAATCATTTATTTGTTTTCTTTTAGTTCCATATCAGTTACTAATTATTTATGATTTTAGTGTTTAGCCTGCCCATGCCCTTGTGCCCTGTCCTGTTTTTGTTCCGGGGTCCTCCTTGGCTCTTTGCCACTGGCTCTTGTTGCTGGATCGGGTGGGGATTGCGTTCATTGAACGCCGCCTTCCCTTGTTGATCTTGTTTATCATATTTTGTGTCTGTCTTTTGTCTGGTTCTTGTTGTTCATTTCACGTACTCTTGGTCGACCTTATCTAAATAATGCTTATATGCCCTAGCCTCGTGCGATACCGTATGAATTAAAATAAATATTTTCTCATTCTCCATCTTTTTCTTTCTATTTTAAAAATCACTCTTTTGCTGTCATTGTATCAGACAGATAAACTATTTTCTAGGTTTTCCTATAATCAACCCATAACTTTTTTTCACAATATTTATATTTATTTAAAGATGTTTTAAAAAGGTCATTGGTATTTCGAATAATATTCCTGGTGTTAAAAACCTGAATTTTGATTCAGAAGCCTTAGTCTGTATATTTAATAGGGCAATAAGATAATAGAACAATAAAGTGATAGTATAATCAAACCTTGGGTCAGTAATGCCGGTGCAAGAAGTAGTGGTTGCTGTTTGAGAAGATAATTCAGGAACAACAAGCGCTTTTACTTGCGGTTTGTGATCTTTGAACATAAATTGGAACAAGATTGCATTTGTGAAAAATGCTATGCTATCGGATTAATACAACACTTAAAGGGAGACACAGGCAAAATTTTCATTTCTTAGTTTTGAGTTTTTCAGTCATTATTCTGTAAATGCCCTCAAAATGAATATATTAGACAGTCAAAGGAACAAAACTTTTCTCCATATAAAGAATAAAATGGTGGTTTCCTAACTTGACCCGCGAGGGTCAGGTTAGAGCGCTTGTATTTTACAATAGTTGTCAAAGTGAACTCTGGAACGTTAAAGAACATGTCATATGAATGACTTAGACTTGTTTCAAACTTACAATATCCACAATATCTGTTATTGTATCTTCAAGGGCTTGTTCAAGTCATGTGACTTGTTTTTAAACTATTTGGCGATTCCATTCGGATCTAGATTTTGTTCAACATAAAGAGATATATTTACGCTTCAAACCAAAAATATTTAAAATTGAAACAAAAATTCATGCTGAAACTTCAAGAAATGTCATTTTAGCGTGATTTAAGTACATATGATCATTTTAATATTTTTGTCATTATTTTGCCTGAATATCCCTTTAATAGTAGAGTAGGAACAGACAGAAGATTTTTGTTTTTATTTCTATACAATTGAACTTTGCCATAATCCAGTTGAGTCTAGTGAATTTGGTGGTCAATGCAAGGTCATATTTCACATGGCCTAAATCTCACGACTGTACACCAAAGGACAATACAAAAGGTCAGTTTGTCAAAATCTAAATCAGCTGATACCAAAATTTGAATTACATATTAATCAGTGCACATGATCCACATTTTAGGGCTGTTCACCATAGTCTTAAGTTTTATGACGCAGGCCATCAAACTGTCGTCATCGTCTTACTTATCTCATAGGCTTTTGTTACCACACCAGGAAGAGACGCGTGCAAATTGTTGTCAAGGGTGAATCATTTTCTTAAACTACAGTACACCCTACCCTAGGGCTATAGTCTTTAGAACGCTATTGTTCTTAATAAATGTCACATTTTATAAATGACCTAGTTACCGCTACCAGTTAAATCACCGGTGCGCTACTTTGTTGCCGACTGCATGTCTTAATCAGACACACAAAGTTAATATAAATATGTTCCAGCTTCTATACTGAGAATGACTACTACGTACAACAAAACATCTTAATTGCATTAACTGTCAAAATATGAACCGACATATTTGCACTGAAGTGTTATGTCATGAGTGCTTCCAATAAAAAATCCCCAGTTCTACTCTTGAAGAGACATTTCAAAACCACAGACGCTTGGGGGTCAGATCCTACCCACCAAAAATAATACCCCACTGCAAAACACTTAGCAAAATCGTTTAACTTGTAAATAGAAAGGCACATCTGTTACTTCGATATAACTGTTTTTAATCAATATTCACGTAAAAATACACCTTTTACCATCAAGTCACAATAGAAGAAAGTAGCAGTGGAGCACTAGAAAATTTACTCCCTGATGCCGATGCCATCACTACCATGTGTCAACAACAGCAGGAAATGGAGTTTTTGAAAACATGCCGTTACTTGGGAAGAAGAGAAAATGATTATTCTGACGACCATATAATTCAAGACAACATATTGTTTATTGACAGGGAAAGACTTTCCTGGGAGAAAGGAAGGTTAAAAGTTGAAAAAACAGGTCTGGACATAAAAAATAGGACAAAGTTATCGAACTTCTAACAAGACTTGTTAGCCCGGACATTGATAGTATTTAAACAGTATTTTTTCTGAAGATTTAAAAGGATCACAAAACTACATATATTTGTAAGGAACGTAGTTGTCAGTACAAGTTTAAAAGTTTAATGTGTTTTAATTTGTATGCATTTTACGAAAACTTTAATTACCTTGCAAGTTTTTTTATGATTTCCTATTTTGGTTGGTTTATTATGACATCCCGTCCTTTTTTGTTTTGTTTTTTTGTCTGTGTGACCTGTCCGGTTTGTTATCCTTGTTGTCCGGTGGTCATGTGTTGGAAATGCATTGATTGAATGCCGCCCTTCTTTAAATATTGATCATGTTTGTCATATTTTGTTTTCTCAAACAGTATACTTCGATAGAGATGACATTTTTATAACAGTATTCCGCCAGCTGGATGGCTTCCTCACATGAAAGATTTCGACCCGAGTGAGGATCGAACCCACAGTGGTGAGGGACCTGTGATCTCAAGTCAGCGACTTTAACCACTCGGCCACGGAGGTCCCTGTTCACTATATCGTTTTCGCTGAAAGCAATTATAGTTATATCGTAGTTTATTTACTGCGCCGGAATAAAAACTTGACACTGTTCAAACAAACGATGGATTATTTCAGAACCAAGGATTGATGACTGCCAGATGCCGAAATGATCCAACAGTACGATCATTTCTGCAGATTTGTCATACCTTCACAAAGGTCAGAAATAGCTTTTGTGCCGCTAAATTCCGCCCTCGGAAACCACATGATATCCCAAAACTGTTTTGTGTGGGTCACATGAAACTTTCGTGTCATTTAAAGATAAAGGTATTCAATTCGATTCTCTTCAGTGTGAACCGTAGTCGATCTGAAAGTCAC